CTGCCACGCCATGTGGTCTCCTCTGGGGGCAGGCGGGAATCGAACTCATGCGGAAGTGGCTTAAGCTTCTCAGTGCAGTGCTTTAACCCGCTGCACCACCAAGGAGGCCCCGTCATTCATTAATTTTTAATGTTTATAAAGCAGAATAAACACTTAAACTTTAAAGCTATATACACAAAGAATTGTTCTAAATTTTTATGAATGAATCCCTATCACTTAGCTTGTTTCAAAACTATAAGCCAGCAACTTCTAATTAAATATTATAATCAGTAATCTTTATTTTTCTTTTAGGGTATTCCAGACAGAGTCTAATATGAAAATAGTGAGAAAATCAGAAACTGCAGGTAAATATAATCCCTACTAAATCTACGTTTTATAAAATTTCACCATGGCTATCTAACCAGATAGTTGATGTAATTTAATATCTTATTTTATTGCTTAAAAAGTATGACGAGTTGTGGGGACTAAAAGGAATGTGAGTAATTAGTAATTTTTTTTTAAGATTTCATTTATTTATGCATACAGAACAGGGGTATAGGCCAGAGGTACAGAGGTAGTGAGAGAATTCACCAAAGACAGAGTGGGGAGCAGAACAGGCAGATCGATGAAGCTCTCTGATGAGGGAAGCAGTGGGTGGGTCAGAAGAGGTCTGCTGTGCCATATGGATCACCTTCAAGGCCTAGGATCCAAGTTGCATTGAAGCAGCCACGGCCAGCTTTGCAGTGCTATGCTCCTATCCGCTGTGCCACCAGGGAGGGCCAAGTAATTTCTTTTTTTTTTAATTGTTGTCAGTGCCGTCCTGCAAGTTTTCTTGAACAAAGTTAATTTTAATTTTATTTTTAGAAGCAGAAGCAGGAGAAAACGTTCTGATTATACAGTAAGTAAGGAAAATGTGACTCAAATTATATTTTAGAAACTATTTGTTCCTATTAAATGAAGTAAGTTTTATTTATCTTTTTAAGATTTATTTTTATTATACATATAAGGGCCCAGGTCTGGGCCAGAGGTGGGGGTGGTGGTGGGGCTGAGAGTATTCCCCAGAGACAGAATGGGGAGCAGAACAGGTAGAACTACTGAAATACACTGGTGAGGGGACCAGTCATCAAGACAGGAGAGGTCTGCTGTGCCATGTGGGTCAGCTCCCTGAACTTCTCAAGCCACAGGACCTGGCAGTAGCTTAATGTCTGTAACAATGAACCCCTACACCACCAGGGAGGCCCTATAATAATATTTTTTAACGATTGAATCACATCTGTGGAGTATTAGAAAATATTCACAATTCAGGAGAATTCTTTGCAGTATTTAACATACTGCTGTATATAAGTAAATGTGTTGTACAACTTGTCCTTTTAATAGTCACGAAACACTCTTTCAAATATAGTGCTTAAATATGGCAATAGTACAAAACAGTAGCATCAAGTGTTTTCTCATTAAAGTAAATACCAGTAACTTGAACAAATAAAAAGATATTTTTTATTAGATGTTTATCGTTCTTTGTCATAAAAGAAAATCAAACTTATACTATACTGAGGTGTATTTTTTTCATCTAATCAGTTAAGAATATAGGTAAAGAGTCATTGCTATGGGGATAAACGATAGCTGGCAGTATAATTCAGAATTTTAAATGTATGTGCAATTTGACTGAGCAATTTCATGGTAGGGAATTTATCTCACTATATATTTATTAATCCTTGGAGTGACAAATATGTAAGATATATTGTAAAATCAAATGATATGAAAGATTCTAAAGGGATCTCAGTAAGGGATTGATTGAGTAAATTATAAAATTTCCATGTAACTGACTACGTTGAGCCAAGGGAAACAAAATAATTCTGTTTATATAACAATAAAGAAAAATCTCTAAACTTATTAGATTCCTCACTAATTCTTCATGGGTAACTATTACTGATCATTTGGATGTACTTGAGGAAATTTTATAAATCTCCCCAGCTACATGTTCATCTTTAGATTTTTCTTTTTAACAAGAGAGAAAATGGGACAACTTAAAAACATTTGTAGCACTTTCCATGTGGTTAGGTATAGATCTGTTTCAGTTCCTTACAATTTGTTGTCTATGCCAACAACAATTCTCTGTGAATTTTTGGGTTGTTTCCTTTTATTTACTTTTTGGTTTTAAGGTTAAATTTCCTGAAAAGGAGTTGCTTTAGAGATTACCCCTTTATTTTTTTTTAAATAGCATATGTTAAATTTTTATAATATTCTTGTAATTAACAAACCATTAACACCAATCTGAAAAGGTCTTTATTTGCCTTGTAACTTTTTCCACCTGTATTAGTTGAATCTTCTTTTTTTTTTTTTTTTTTTTTTTTTTTCAGGTTTTTTTATTTGTACATACAGAACTGGGGTACAGGCCAGAGGCTCAGGGGCGGCGAGAGGCCCCACCTGAATCTTCTTTTTTTTTTAAAGATTTATTTATTTGTACATACAGAACTGGGGTACAGGCCAGAGGCTCAGGGGCGGCGAGAGGCCCCACCTGAATCTTCTTTTTTTTTTAAAGATTTATTTATTTGTACATACAGAACTGGGGTACAGGCCAGAAGCTCAGGGGCGGCGAGAGGCTTCACCAGAGACAGAGTGGGGAACAGAACAGGCAGATCGATGAAGTACACTGCTGAGGGGAGCAGCGGGCGGGTCAGGAGAGGTCTGCCACGCCATGTGGTCACCTCCAGGGCAGGCGGGAATCGAACTCATGCGGAAGCGGTTTTAGATTCTCAGTGCTGTGCTTTAACCCGCTGCGCCACCAGGGAGGGCCTGAATCTTCTTTTAAAGATATTTTTTTTTCTGCCAGTCATTCTATGAAAATCTTTCACTTCACTATTGTTTCAGCTATTGTGATTCCTGGTAATTTTTTAGGGTATAGATTATAAAAGTACCTTTTAATTTTTAGGAATAAGAATCCAGAAGATAACCTCTGTGAAATTACTGGTGAGTATGACCACAATACTTTTCTTACCACATATCTTTCTTTTTATCCAGATCCTTTCACAAGTAGTATGAAGAAGAACCATGAAACAAACGTGAAAAGAGTTCTCTTTATAGAAAGTCTTCAATTTAAAATTTCACAAACTTACTACTGTTTCTCTCAAAACTGATGTTCCTCCTGTTTTCTTTATCTTGGCCTTCCACTCATTCATTCGCACAAGTAAGGAACTGAGTGAAGTTTTGAACTTTACCTTCATTTGCCTTATCTTTTTGACCCAACGCTCCCTATTCTGTCTCCTGAATATCCTGCAAATCTGTACTCTTTTCTCTATTCCTTCTGCTGTTTCTTTCAAGTTCTCATTATTCTTTCCTGGGCTGTTATATTTTATTTCTTATCCTTATAATCAACTCTGTATTATTTAATCTGATGATTTTAAAATTGTTCAAGGACACATTTTTTTTTATAGGATAAGACCATACTCCTTAGCATAGACTTAGAAAGTCCTTTATAAATTTGGCTTGTTAGCTATCTTAGTTTTCACATAACAACTTTTCACTGAGCTTAACTTTAATGCTATTCAGAGTAGTCACCCCACAAACTGTGACATCTAAGACAGAAGAGGAATTTATACTAGGGTATAAATCACTATGGCAGTTAAGTACTGTTTAGTTAACATTTTTTCCTTAGCAGTTTTTAAATTTTTTTTTCCTTACATCATTGCTCATTTTTGTACAAAATTTTATTTCTCCTCCAGGTATAGTGCCCATAATTCTCCTATCACCATGGCACTATGAGCAATCACAATAGTCTCTTGTGTTTTTCCCGCCTCTTTATTGATGTCTCTTCCTCATCTTCCCTGCTGGGTGGTTCAGATTTATAGTTTGCTCACAAGTTTTGTCCTTTTCTTGACCTTTTCTTTGATTTCTCTATATTTCCCTATAAGTGAGACGATCCAATATTTTCCTTTTTGCTTCTTATTTTCCTTAGCATAATCTTTAAAAATTTATCCATGTTGCTGAAATGGCGTGAGCTTATCTTTTTGAATCACTGAGTAGTATTTCATTGTGTGTATAAACCACACCTTCTTGATCTATGTGTCTGTTTTGGGGTATTAAGGTTGTTTGCATATGTTAGCTTTTATAAATAGATCTGCAGTTAACAGAGGAGTACAGGTTTCCCTTGAATTAGTGTGTTTGTGTCCTTTGGGTAGCTTTCCAGGTATGGAATTGCTGGATCATATAGTAGATTCATTTTTAGTGTTTTAGCTTTCCATAGTGGCTAGACCAGTTGCATTCCCACCAGTACATACACACATATACATAAACAAAACTTTGATATATATGACTTCATCACATTCATATTTGAGCCATAAACACTCTAAAATGCCTGAAAATTTGTCTTTAAGCTTAAGTATTTTAAAATGTATTTCCTGTTTTATATAGCATTTTCAATTCCTTCCTTATATCCAAAATACAGTTTGTTAATGAAAACTTTTTATTTCAGTTTTAAAATATCTTGAGTCTAATTCCTTATTTCCATGCTCATTGTCTTTTGCGAAATAAATCGTTGTTGTGTCTACATGATTATAGTAGCTTCCTCATTAGTTGATCACTAACAATTCTACTTTATTTTCCTTATTTGGAATATATTTTAAAATGCATAGCTCATTATAGGAATGTCTGCATTCCTTAGCAAAAAATAAAAGATGCTTCAAAATTTTTTACTCTAATATTTCAGTCTCATCTATTGGTGCTCTGTCATGTAATCTCTACCATTCAGGAAATTAAAATAGAGATGTGAAGGTGGAATAAACGAGTATAGACTTTCTGCTTTTAAAAATTCTCTTTTAAAATTTCTATCACATTCTAAAATATTTCAGTGATGTGGAACATACAATAATCATTGATCTCTGAAATTTAATACCACAGTTCTTATGAAGGGTTAACTGATAAAACTTCAGCAATTATTTATAAGTGATAAATAACCTAAGAAAAGGAGATTCAGTCTCGATAACATGTTTATAAACTAGTTGTTGACTAGTTTTTTTCTTTTTTCAATAGGTATGAACACATTGCTTTGTGCTCCCATTCAAAGCCAAATACAACAGAGAGAGGTATGAATTCATGCAGGTGCCTTCTTTATTCTCCCTTACAGTTAAAACTTTAAAAATACCCTGGTGGTGTAGAGTCAAAGTCTCAGTGCTATCAAGCTATCTCCCGTCATTACACCTGAATTAAATCCCCAGCAAGGGAGCTAACCCACATGGTGCAACAGAACTCCTGTCTTGCTCACTGCTCCCCTCAGCAGTGTATTTCAGTCAGTCTACCTGTATTGCTCCCCACTCTGTCTCTGGTGAATCCTCTTACCCCCTATACCTCTGACCTACACCTCAGCTCTTGTATGCATTTAAAATAATATAATAGTTTATTTTTACATCATTTTGTGCCTTTTTCCATCTCAGTTGTAATCCCCGTGGGCTTCCCATTACCAAATCACCCATGTGCCATCACCATAGTCAAGTGCACTTTCCTCCCCCAACCATTTTTGATCCCATTTTCTACTCTACCCCCGTAAAATGTCTCTGGTATATAGTTGTTCATTATTATTATTTCCTTCCCTGGTCCTGTATGCTTCTGCTATAAGTGAAACCATCTGGTATTTTTCCTTTTCTTTCTGTCATATTTCACTAAGCATGATCTTTTCCAGCTCCATCCGTGTTGCTGCAAAAAGCATGTGTTTATTTTTTTTAAAAAATCTTAACAAAAAACAGGTTCCTCCTTGGTGCTACAACAGGTTGAAGCACAGCACTAAGAAGCAATCTGCAGCTACTGAAGCTCAAGTTCTATCCCCAGTCAGGAAGGTGACCCATATAACACAGCAGACCTCTTCCACATGGGGTGGCAGACTTCTCCTGTCCCACTTGCTGCTCCCTTCAGCAGTGTATTTCAGTCAATCTGCCTGTTCTGTTTTCTACTATGTATCTGGTGTCCTCTCACTCTGTACCCATCCCTGCACCTCTGGCTTGTATCCCAGTTCTTGTATGCATAAATAAGTAAATCTTTAAAAACAAAACAAAAAAAGAAGCAAAATGATAATATTTGGCCTGAAAAGAGTAATTAAAAAAAAAAAAAGACACACACAAGTATTTATTTTTAAGGATTTATTTATTTGTTTATGGGTACAAGAGCTAGGGTGTTGACCAGGTATAGATGGGTGAGAGGATTCACCAGAGACAGAATGGGGAGCAGAGCAGGTACATCCACTGAAATACAGTGCTTACAGTGCTGTGGGAGAAGTGGGTGAGACAAGAGAGGTTTGCTGCACCATGTGGGTCAGCTCCCTAACTGGGGTTCCAGCTCATGCTTCAGTGACTGCAGGTTGCTTCATACTGATACTTACCCTTTGTGCTACCATAAAGGCCCCACAAAATATTTAATGTTAATGACTTGTTTTCGGGATTACTTACTAAAATGAACCAGCATAGGATGGAAAACTTCCTAAATTTTCAGTTAAACTAAGGCTACTTACATCGTTGCCAATTTAAACGATAGGGAAATATGCTAATTATATCAGGATTTCTCTAACTTTAATGGACTTACAAATGTTGTAAAATATAAATTATTCAGTTCAGTAAGCCCTGAACTCTGTACTTCTAACAATATCCTGGGTGACACTGGTATGCTAGTCCACAGACCATGCTCAGTAACAAGGGTTTAGACCATGTCCTTGCAAATAAAACTACTGCATTAAGATTCAAAGAGTCTAATTCCCAGGAATGCAGTTTTATATATGTGTGTGTGTGAGTGTATGTATACATATATATAAATATAATAGATATAACCGAATTAGCTTTACATAATATATAAATAATATATTTATTAGTCATCATGTACTTATCCCTTTCAAGTTCTTTTATGTAGGATAAAAATGATCTAACACAGTAATTTGAATTTCATTTGGTTTTGTCAGTCTTTTTCATTTTGTAGTCATTCTAGTGGGCACATAGTTAACATTGAACTTTCAATTTGTCTAAAACCACAAAGCATTCATAGATTTTAGAAAAAGTCAACACATGCTACATACCACACCAATACATTGATTCAAATAAATCAATATATTACTAAAATCATTGAGGTTTGTATAATATATTCTCTATAGTACATGTTGTAAAATAACCTTTTTAAAAGTTTGCATTTGATACAATATTTGTTTTATTATAGATTACAGTTACAGAATACAACCATGAAAAGAAACTTGCAAATGACCAGACAGTTATCTTCTCAGATGAAAACCAGATGGACCTGACAGCAAGTCACACTGTGATGATTACCAAAGGCCTTTTAGATTGTACCCAAAGTGAAACACTCCCCAAAATAGATACTACATCATTTCTTGCTAACCTAAAGCTCCACACAGATGATTCAAGAATGAAAAAAGAATCAAAATTTTCCTTGAATCAAAACTCTTCTTCAGAAAAGAAAATAAATTTCAATGATTTCATAAGAAGAATGAAAACAGGAAATTTTAATGCTTCTTCTTCTGCAGGACCTGATAAAGAAAATTCTGAGATATCTATTCATTCCAAAGTATCAAATCAGGCCTCTCCTATACATCAGAAACATGCATCTCCTAATGTAGATGAAAATAGTACTAATGTGACTAGAATCTTTAGAGAGCAAGATGATGGAATGAATTTTACCCAGTGCCATACAGTCAATATTCAGACTCTGATTCCTACATCCAGTGAGGTCAGCTTAAGGGAATTTAAAGGCAGTAATACTGTAATTTATGGCAATGACTTTATGGACTTGACAGCTAACCACACTATACAGATTTTACCCTCAGAAGATAATTTATCTGACTTAGAATATCAAGCTCAGAATGTCTTGATGGATGTTACAACAGGTCATGAAACTAAAGTTTCAGGAAAGAAAACAATTCTTAAGAATAAACCAAATGCTACTTTTCAAGAACCTTCCTTAAATCCTAAAGGCAAAATACATAATACTAAAAGTCATACTACAGAAACAGAAATTCATACAATCACACAGACTTCTAACCAAGATGCTAGAACATTGACCATGATCCCAGAATCTGTATATTCCAGTCCAGCTATTCAAGATTATAAGACAGTTTTCTATTCTAGTTGTAATGATGCCATGGAACTCACCAAGTGTTTCTCAAGTATGAAAGGGGAGAAAAATTTGCTAAAGAATGACAATAATCATTCTAATATACATCCTAATCCAGATGCTACCTCTCTCACAGAGAAAACTGTTTATTCAGAAGAAACTAACATGGACATTACCAAGAGTCACACAGTTGTAATAGATAATCAGTTTTGTAAAGAAGGTAATACACAAATCGCAGCCACACCAATATGTGGACAAGAGCTTATGTTCCAAAACTGTATAACCATGCCAGAGGATAAAGAAATGAATACAAATTATAGTTTAGTTCCTTATGTTTCTAAGACAAGATTACAGCATAACTTGGCAAATCCTTTATCTGTTTCATTGACTGACAGAAATACTGAAATCTTCATAGATGATGATATGGATTTGACTAAAAGTCATACAACTAATTTAAGAAATCAAGTTTCTCTTGTACCTTATAGTTTAGTTCCTGAGCATACCAGAAAATTTCACTCTCATAGCAATCGCCCTTCAAATGAATGCAAAGAAATGACCAAAAGTCACATTGAACTGCTTCAACAATCAAATATAATACCTGCAAACATCCTCAATGACAAAGAAAAAGATCACATTTTACAGATATCACCCTGTCTTGATAAAGATTCTCCTCAATCAGTCGATATTAATCAGAACATAACAAAAAGACATAATCCAGTATACTCTGATGGAGATCTTGATAAGCAAGTACCACTGGGAAATAATAGAAATTCAGTTTCATGTGAGCAATCTTCATTTTCTACTACAAACCCATTATTTTCATCAAAAGAACAAATTGCCATAAAAAATCATAATACTGCTATAAACAGCCATACAGTGGAATCTGTACCAGGCCAGCATTCTAAACTGCCTGAACCGCTTAGGAAAAGTTCAGGTAATCCCACACCTGACTTGCCTCATGACAAGACAATTATTTGTTCAGATGAGGAGCAAAATATGGATCTAACCAAGAGTCACTCTGTTGTCATTGGATTTGGTCCTTCTGAAGTACAACTTGGTAAGACTAATTTAAAAAACACTAACAGCCAGCTAACAACAGTAAACAAGCAACTAGCTGTGAAAATTGAAAAATGTAATAAAAATCCTATAGAAAAAAATGGAGTGTTTATTTCTAGTAATATGGATATATTGGAGGACAAAAGTGTACAGGAAGCTGGGTTTCTGAATGAAAAGCAAAATGTCAAAATTTGTGGAAGGAAAAGTATTGGCAGACTAAAAATTGATAAAACTATTTTGTTTTCAGAATCTGATGAGAATGATATGGATATCACTAAGAGTTATACAGTAGAAATAAATCATAAGCCTTTATCAGATGAATATGATTCCCATTTGGTGTCTTTGGCAGGAACATCTAAAACTGTTTTGTATACATGTGGACAGAGTGAAATGGAAGTCACTAGAAGTCATACAACTGCCATAGAATGTGAAACTACCTCACCAAATAAAATAACTTCAAGGCCTGTTGACAAAACTGTAATGTTTGCAGATAATCACGATGAACTGGAAATGACAAAATCACACACCATTTTCATTGACTACCAAGCAAAAGAGAAAACTGTGCTTCCAGATAGACCAACCTTTGAACTATCTGAAAAGAAAAGCTTAGAAAAACCAACTATGACAGCTACTTCTGTTGAGGAAAGTGCTTTCTTTCCAAAGAATTATGAAAGTAGCCATTCAGCAGCAAAAGTCAGCCAGCTAGCACTACCAGGTGGTTTTATAGAGAAAGCTTTAGGATTTATAGGTGATGATAACAAGGCAATATCTAAGCCAACCATCTGGAAAAATGACAGAGATGTAGAAAAGCCTAGGTTTCTGAATGAGCCTCTATCAGGAAACAGTCAGAAGAGAAATCTTAAACTCAAGAATGACAAGATCATTGCATTTTCAAAGAATGATAAAAATATCGATATCCAGAGTTCTGCAGCAGAAATAAATAACAAAAATGCTCTGGAAGATGAAGAGAAATCCCATTTGGTTCCTTTGGCAGAAATTTCTAAAACTGTTTTTTGTACACTTGGGCAGGATGACATGGAGATCACCAGAAGTCATACAACTGCCTTAGAATATAAAACTGTCTCACCAGATAAAGTAACCACTAGGCCTGTGGAGGAAAATATGTTAATAGGTAATCACAGTGAACTGGAAATCACCAAATCCCATACTATTTTCATTGATTGTCAAGCAACTGAGAAATTACTTCAAGAGTGCCCTAAACATGGAACAGTGAAAAGAAAAACATTGGCTGTTTCCTTTCCTACAGATGATAGTTCTGTTCAAGAAATCACTAAAAAGCACACACTGGCTGTAGAAAACGAAATTGTTCATCACACTGAGCCAAAGCTTGCTACACCCTTCGGTGCTGCTAATGCATTGGCTGGGGATCAAAGTGAGATAAAAGTCAAATTAAATAGCACTGCTATGGAAAAAGAGGCATTGGGGAAAGATATAGTCCTGGCCTATCCATTGGAGGAAAAAGCCAAAATTAAACATTGTCACTTAAACAGTTCAAATAGAAGAAATATGGATTTTACAAACAGTCACACAACTGCTATTTGTGGATCCAATGATAATACCTGTTTACCCAATGTTATTTCCTGTGACATGACCACCGTGTATGATAAAAATAAGAAAACTAGTAATTGTTCAGCTCAAAATGATCTTGCTTATGCAGATGACTTAGTCAGTGAACCTTATTCAAAATCTGAGGGACTGCCTTTCTCTGATCATTGTTCTTTGTTAGATCAGATAAAAGTTAATCAAGCTGAAACTAAAGTACAGTTAAACTCAGTGCTCAAAGATCAAGATCTGATAAAGGAGCCCTCAAAGCTATTAGTTAATCAAACTTTAGCATATAGTCAAGATCTGGGGGAGATGACTAAATTTAATTCAGAACTAGTACCTTGTAAGTTTCCAAAAGATGAGAAGGCCTTAGTTGATAATACAAAACATTGTTTAAAGAAAACCTGTGCTAATGATGGTTATGTTTCTCAGCCTCATCTTTTAACCCAACTACTTCCATTTCCTCAACAAGAACAGAGTATTGTCAATAAAGATGAAACAATATTGTCTAAAGCTAGAAATAATTTAAATATAGGAAATTTTTCTGTACCCCTATGTGGAAGTGAATCCCAGGTGTTTAATAATAAAAATCAGTTTACTGCAGGTTGTGAAAAACAACTGGAGAGAAGCATTCAAATAGCTAACTGCAATATAGCTGTAGATTTCCACAGTAATTCAGACTTGCCCGAGCAAGTTACTCAAACTCAAACAAATCTTAGAGAAGCAAATTTTACTAATATCAAACCAAATCTGGATAATTTGAATGGAAAAACTGAAGAATTTTTAGTTTTTCAAACTGTTCAGTTACCACCTTCTCTACAATTACTTGAATTAGTAAACAAGGGACAGAATAAGAATATCACACAAACTGCAGAAATACATAATATTAACATAGTGTCCAGCAGTGTTAAAGATGATAGAAATGAAGAAAAAAATTCCCCTAATGGAGCTGTACCTTTAACAACCGCTATAAAAGATAAAGTGAGAAGATGTTCTTTGGGTATATTTTTGCCCAGACTGCCAAATAAAAGAAATTGTAGTGTCAGTGGTATTGATGACCTAGAGCAGATTCCAGCATACACAACTAATGTAAATCATTTAGAAACTCAGCCAGCCTCCAATAAAAATTCAAGTAGTGGGTTTGTTGCAGCTAAACTAAACTTAAGTCCATCTCAATATATAAATGAAGAAAATCCTCCTATGTATCCTGGTGAGATTAATTCCTCAGACTCTACTGGCATAGAAGCTGAGGAAAAGACTTTGACTGAGACATATCAAAAAGAGAGTGCACCATCTAAAAATAAAATGGAAGAAACAGCCAACAGCCAGAAAAGAACCTGGGTACAAGACGATGATGATGTTCAGCATGAGAAAAAAATCAGGAAAAGTGAAATTAAGTTTAGTGATACACCAGATCAGGAGGTAAGTTCTCTTGAATTAAATTCTTCATGTTTAATAGATGATTTTTCTTTTCATTTTAAGCTTAGTCTTGAATAGGCAGGAAATATTTTCAGTTAAAAGATTGGGGAAATATTCATATGTAAATCTTAAGGAATTAATTGACAGATAGACTTAAAAACAATTTGAAGTGGTAAGTAATCACAAAAATTGAAATGGAAATTAATGTTAAAATAGTGCAATTCTGTGTCCTGTCACCTCCAGTGATTTGTTATTGTGGCATTGCATATGAAATACTCGGCTGGGCATATGCAATTTGAAAAGTCATCTTCAATATTATAAATATTTAAAGGGTAAAAAACTTTTGTTAGCAGATTGCATAAAGAAGAGCTTTGCTGAATTTTCTTGACTGATCAGAGTATGTGGAAGTTGAGACTCCATTACTTTAACGGATGGGAGAATGCCCAGGGCAAACCCAGTTTCAGAAGTGAGATTTTGTATTCAAAGAGGTCATACATTTTTCTAAAAATTGAGAGAACACTGATTTGGGTAACTTGGGAAGAATGAAACCACTCAGACTGATTTTTATAGGTGGGGGAAAAAAGATTAGAAAGATTAGAGGTCCCAGAAAATAAAATATAAACTCTTAGGGATTAATTATGTAGAACTTAGAAGATAATTTTAGTGGTTCTGTAAGATAAGGTCCTGAAGAAATATTCTCTGGTGCTTTGAGAAATGTAAGTATAACTGAATAGCTTCTATGAAAATTAATATTCAATAAGTACTTATTGAATATCTGCTGTGTCCTAGTCTTTTAAAGATTTGTTTTTATTTATGCATAAAAGAACTGGGATGTAGGAAGATGGGGTGGGGGGAATGCAGCTGTGAGAGCAACCACCAGAGACAGAGTGAAGAGCAGACCAGGCAGATTTACTGAAATACGCTGCTAAGGGGAGTAGTGTTCGAAACAGGAGAGATCTGCCTCATCGTGTGGGTCACTTCCCTGGCCAGGGATCAGACTTATGCCCATCACTCGACAGCAGTGACTTTAACCCCGGGGTGGGCTGCACCACCAAGGAGACCCACATTCTTGAATTTTAGACAAAGAATATATTGTCTTCAGATGAAAGTGACATGCAAAGTCAAATGTTTAAAATGGTAAAAACTACTTCCTGACTTACTGGACTTTAGCCAAAGGAGTTGGGTCACCTGGGTAGGGAAATACTAAAAACCAGGAAATAAACTGTATTTCTTTTTTTTTTAAAGATTTATTTATTCATACAGAACTGGGGTACAGGCCAGAGATGCGGAGGGTGAGAGGATTCACCAGGAACAGAGTGGGGAGCAGAACAGGCAGATCGACGAAGTACACTGCTGAGGGGAGCAGCGGGCGGGTCAGGAGAGGTCTGCCTCGCCATGTGGATCTCCTCCGGGGCAGGCAGGCGGGGATCGAACTCGTGCGGAATTAGCTTAAGCTTCTTAGTGCAGTGCTTTAACCGCTGCGCCACCAGGGAGGGCCATAAACTGTATTTTAACCACGCCCACTGTGTACAGCCAGTATTCTAAGCCAGGGTTTTGTAGTGTGGTAGTACTTATCCTAGCAACTACTAGTTGGAAAATTGCATAATTCAGTATTTTATAGCTCCTAGAATCTGGCTATAAGTTAGATATATTTGATAAACAATTTGATTACACAGTATAATGCACAAAACTTAATTCTATACATTTTTAAGTAAAATTACTTTTAACTCTGAAGACTTAAGTTGCCTATTTTTTACTCTAGTTCTTTACTAAGGTATTTCATAAGACTTTTACATAAATTTTATGTTTGTATTTTTTTGGGGGGTGTTCATTAACTAAAAAAGTTATACAGTGTCAGAACTTTAACCTGATGATGTTCCTTAATTCATTATTTCAGATTTTTGATTACCGTACTGAAGGGGATATTGATAAAATTGGCAATAGTGTATTGATAAAAAACCTGAGCAGGACTCCATCCAGTTGCAGCAGTTCTCTGGATTCAGTTAAAGCTGAGGGGACCTCTCTGGACTTCAGTGGTAAAATCTTCAAGAGGCTAAATAATATTTGACTAATAATAAATGTATTTAATGAGGAGTGATTTGAGTGTTATATAAATTCTTTGGGAGTTATAAATAATTGATAAGTAAAATGATATTTTGTCTTTTTATATTAGTTATTTTAATATGTTGAGAAATGATATGCTACAAGGAGTAGAGTGATTTCTTTAAAAGATAGCGTTAGTAGAGAAATATTGAATGGAATCTTAAAACTTACCTTTGTTGCCCTACAAGTGACTGAGTTGTTAGGTCATAACAGGTAGTTTAAGGAACTTGAACTACCCAAAACCTGACCGTGACTAAAATTTAAAAGTAACCTGTTTAAAGGTCCCAGAAAAAAGACAAAGCCCTTGGGCTCACATCCACCTACAGCTTGCCACAAGGGAGAAATGGGATTGATCCCAAGTGGAAAGGGAGATGTGGGGAGCAGGGTGGTGGTGTGTGTGGATGGATTGGTAGGAGGGGCGCACTTAAGGGAAACAATAACTATAGAAAGATGAACTTGCAATTTAAGAAAATTAAAAAGAAAATTAACTTGTTCATCACCTGAGTTTGTTTTATGTCTAGCATACCACAATAGTCAAATGGAATCACAGTTTCTTAGAGACACTATTTGTGAAGAGAGTTTGAAAGAGGTATGTTAAATTCTAATGCAACTGTTTTCCTTTTTTTTCCCCATTTCTTAATATATAAAGCATTTCAAATAAACAGAAGATGTTTTATTTTCCTTAAGAATTCAACAGTTAAGTGTAATGGAAATTATTATTAGGATAGCTATGTTTTATTGTTTCTTCCCAATTCAGCTGCTTGAATAACTCTTTAAGAAATAATGCTAGATAAAAATCTGCTCATAGTCTACAAATATCTGGATAAATATGTGCAAATTACTTAAAGCTACTTAGAAACAAATGACGTGGTTACAATCAAAATGAACTCATCTTGAATGGTCTTAAAACTTTTTATCTTTCCTCAGAAACTCAGAGATGGGAAAATAACTATAAGGGAGTTCTTTATACTTCTTCAAGTTCATATTCTGATACAAAAACCCCGACAGAGCAATCTCCCAGCCAAAGTAAGTACAATTCTTAGCAAATAAGCTAACTTAATTAAAATATATTGTACCTGTTACTAAACTGCTTCAAGGCGGGCATTTTATCCTAAAAGCAAAAAAAGAATCTAAGGAAGCAAGGAAGCTTACAGAGTTTTCCTATGGTAGGTACATTTGTTTAGTATAAAAATCACTTTTTTTATATCATGGATTTTGATGAGGTAAAAATTTTTTTTACTTGTTTAAATTATATTATTTTTTTATTGAGGTAGCATTGGTTTACAACCCTATAGGCCGATAATTGGTTGATATCTCCTAATTGTTTTAAGTCCATTTACCTTCCATCTCTCTCTTTTTTTTTAATAATGAAGAATTGGAGTTTTTCCTGTAGAGCTTACCATAGAATGAATTTTTCAAGTTGTGCATACATTTTAACATGTTCCTTTCACCTTTGTATTTTTTGTAAATCAGCAGAGACCATATCAAATTTAGGGTTTTTTTCAAGTTTATAGTTAATACTCCCATCAAGAGTAAAATAGTGCTACCCCAATTCTGTAGTTCCTTTTTCACTTAATTTCCAAATACTTCCATAAAGGAAAATACTCTTTTACTAAGTATTTGACTCCTATATAAAGTCAATTAACCATTTTTCCTATGAGTCCTACTTTCTTTTAGTAAGAAAATTGGGTTCTTTCATTTGAGTCAGTGCTTAGAGTTCTGATGTTTGGAATTTTTTATTGTTATAATTTAACCTTAAAAATATTTTTTAAAGCTTTTTTTTAAAAAAAAAATTTATTTATGCATACAAGAACTAGGGTATAAGCCAGAGGGGTGGTGGGTGAGAGGATTCACCAGAGACAGGAATAGAACAGGCAGATCTACTGAAATACACTACTGAGGGGAGCAGTGAGTGGGTCAGGAGAGGTCTGCCAAGGTATGTGGGTCACCTCCCTGGCTGGGGATCAAACTCATGCTGCAGTGGCTGATAGCTTCATAGTGCTGTGCTTTCGCCTGTTGTGCCACCAGGGAGGGCCATTAAAAATAATTTCAAGAAAACAGGGCCCTCTCTGGTGGCGCAGTGGGTGAAAGCACAGCACTAAGAAGCTAAAGCCATTTCAGCATGAGTTGGATCCCCGCCCGCCCCAGAGGTGACCCACATGGTGTGGCAGACCTCTCCTGACCTACCCGCTGCTCCCCTCAGCAGTATACTTCATTGATCTGCCTGTTCTGCTCCCCACACTGACTCTGGTGAATCCTCTCACTGCCCCTACACCTCTGGCCTGTACCCCAGTTCTGTATGCATAAATAAATAAATATTTTTTAAAAATAATTTCAAGAAAACAAATCAAATTCAATTATAATTGCTTTTAGCACTTTTTCTGCTTCTTAGTACATCTGTGAGAAAATATGTTAGGAACAGAGAAGGAAGATTAAAATCACATTTAGCTAATTTATCAACTGTAAGGGGAGAATGAGAAGAAATTACCATTGGTTAGATTATTTTAATAACCTAGGATTCAGTGCCATTTAGGAAACAAAACAGCAAAAACAAAATCTTTAATCTCAAGAAATTGGTCAATATTATATCCTTTTTGTAGAATTTTAAGATTTATTTATGCACACAGACCAAAGGTGCAGGAGCAGTGAGAAGACTCACCAGAGACAGAGTGGAGAACAGAACAGGCAGGTAGATTAATGAAGTACACTGCTGAGGGTAGCAGAGGTTGAGATAGGAGAGGGCTGCTGCTGGTCATCACTCCTGCCTGGGGACTGAACTGGCACTAAAGTTGCTGGGGCTAGCTTCCCAGTGTTACAGTTTAACCCATTGTGCCATCAGGGAGGGCCTCAATCTTACATACTTTCTATAGGTGAGGAGAACCAAAGGTTAGTGGTACCACCCTGCCCATGAATAATGGGTGGTTATGGGATTTGGTTTAGTTGTTAAATGTATTCTGATGTTAAGAGTTGAGTTGATTTTTCCAAAATGATATAAGTAAAGGAGATTTTTAAAAGAGTCAAGTTTTTACTGTCTTTAATTTAGAAATTTCCATTGCCTTATTTTAGATACGTTGATTTTTCATTCCACTTTAATAGGAGATGCTGGAGAATGGGAACAGAAAAGGAAAATCTAGGAAACAGGCATCTGTTTTTATTTCTTTTAATGAAGGGCTTCCTGTTAAATTTAAATTTTTAGGTGCTCTTTTTCTTAAAATAGTGTAGAGCCATTTTCATACCACTTTTAATCCCACTTGAACATCTGTAGTTCCTCTAAACATCTCTGTGAAATGAACTTTGATGTCAGACTTTAGTTTAAATTCCAACTTGTAACTTACTAGATATATGAATTTAATAGTGTTCATATTTTTCTTTGTAGAGCTTTTTAAAATAGGCACTTTAAAGAGAGTAGGCACTTTGTAGCCTAGAGGTTAGGTCTTAACACAATAACTAAGACTGCCTGAATTTGATCCCCAGCCAGGGAGTTAACCAACATACAGTGCAAAAGACCTCTCCTGTCTTGCCCACTGCTCCCCTTATGTGTGTATCTCAGTAAATCTGCCTGTTTGTCTGGTGAATCCTCTCACACATAAATCCCCATCCCCCCGCCCCCAACTCTAGCTGCCAGCTATTCTATGCAATAAATAAAGAATAAAAAAAAAAAATGTAGCACTTGAAATAGTTCTCAGTTTTGTCCTCAAAAAGCCAATTTTGAGAGATTGATTTATTTTTCCAGTTTCCTATAAACACACCACCTACTCTTGAAGACCTGATGTTAAGCCAATATGTTTACCGACCCAAGATACAGATTTATAGAGAAGATTGTGATGTTCTTCGCCAAAAGATTGAAGAGTATGAAAATTTTCATTTTTCATGTGTTATGTTGAATAATCTGTATAGTATATAGTTTTGATTAGAATAACACTGACACAGGACAAAATTCATGGCATTAATTGGCAGTGTGATTTGGTATGTGAGAAAGATATTTGGCTTTGTAGTCAGACAGATTGAATTTCAATTCTAGCTACAACATAGTTGTGAAACCTTATTTAACTTATGTAAGCTTCATTTTTACATTCATAGATAGTGGGTAATAATACCTACTCAGCAAATGGGAAAGAGAAATAGAGAGTATATAATGTTTTCATGACATTCTTTGCAAAAAATTGGTCCTAATAATTGTTAGACTGATATTATTGGGTTGTTGGAAAAGTCATAATGTATTTTTGCAACAGAAAAAATATATTGGCTATTCAATATAAGTTGATTGCAAAAGAACATCTTCAAAAGATTCAAAAGAAGAATCTTCAGAGATTTCTACATGCTGACTAAATTCAAGACTGCCTTTGGATTTATTCACACTTGATTTTCATAAAGAAGAGAACACAGTTTTACCTTTTATATGGTTTACTGTGCTTTAGTATATGTAAATGCTGCAGACTAATTTACATTAGATATATCTACATTCTCATATGCAAATCAGGACTTAGAGCCTAAAAGAATGTTTATATCATCCTTATCTAGAATTGGCCAACTAAATTTGAGCCAATATGATAAAAGAAATAGAATTATTTTTTAAGAATTATGTCATTTTAAAACTAGAAACTTAAGATGCTGCTATAGTGTTGTTGCTATAATTATTTATTATATAGTGATACTGCTATAATTCTGGTTGGCTCATTCGAGTACTTGCTGTATGCCATACACTGTATTAAGTTCTAAGGCTCATCACTAAATAAAAAAGACAAATTTCTTACTTCTTGTTTAATAGTTGGCTTTGTCAAGTGTAGCAGTCCTCTCCTGTTCCATCTGCTACTTCCATCTTGTTCTGCCACCTGCCCAAAAGAATTGGTTATATCAGAATTTGTCTGAGTTTATTTTATTTTGAATGAAACAGGATCTTGCATACAATGAACGGTTTATTTCCATATGCTATACTATTTAATTTGTATCTATGTGCATTGATATATCTTCTCTGACAGATATTTATTTACTAATAAATTAATATAAAACTATACTACTATAAATTCTATGAACGTGAAATAACTTCTAACTGAATGACAAATTTCACTTAAAATAATATTTACAACTCAACAATTATTATGCACTGGTAGACGTTAAGGATTATATATCAGCAACATGTTTGTGAAGAAAGTTTTACTAGTTAATAGATTTATTCACCTGTTCTACAAATGTTGAGAGATAATCACCTGGCTATTACTCTTCTTAAGTGAATTCCCATATTTTTATGTACAAATAAACTAGGAAGAATTAAGTATGCTTGTACTTCCCAGTTCATTTAAGCTGACGTCTGAATCCTGTACTCATTAACTTTGTTATTTTTTAGATTAAAGCTTTCTGCATCGAACCAAGATAAATTGTTGACTGAAGCAAATAAGAATCTCTGGGAAAAAATGAGACTCTGCTCTGATGAGGAGGTACTTTTGTCTCATTTTTTGGAAATCAGTATAGACATTTTAAATAAAATATTGTGAAATAAGGAACTGTTACTTGGTATTATTTATTTAATTTCTTAGCTATAATGTGTTTTCAAGGTTTAATTAGCTATACACAAGTAATTGTTAATATATAATCTTTTCAAAAATGCAATAACCAACTTTGTAACTGAAATATACTTGAAGCTTATTTAGTGTTCCCTCCTTTTTATTTGCCTTTCACTTAGATTTAAATGAGGAAAATATTTAATTGATTAAATAGTAAGCAACTTTTTTTTTTTAAAGATTCATTTATTTGTGCATACAGAACTGGAGTACAGGCGCCAGAGATTCAGGGGTGATGAGAGGATTCACCAGAGAGAGTGGGGAGCAGAACAATCAGATTGATAAAGTACACTGCTGAGGGGAACAGTGGGGTGGGTCAGGAGAAGTCTGATGGGCCATGTGGTCACCTCCAGGGCTGGGATCAAACTCATGCTGAAGTGGCCTTAGCTTCTTAGTGCTGTGTTTTAACTGCACCACCACCAGGTGCTGCACCACCAGGGAGGGCCTGTAAGCAACTTATTTTATGTGTACCCTAATGTTTTAAGTATTATTAATTAAAAGCCTGTCATTTTCTAATTTATAGTGTGACTAAGTAAATACATGAATCAAAATAAAAATCTTTGATTTTGTTCTTTATTAAGTAGAATCAAATTTGCAAATGAGAAGTGATTTGCCTTACATATTGAGTCTAGGTTGGCAGAGCCTAGCATGTAGCAGCTACGCCAGACTTCTTAGACCATTTACCTCTTCGAACTCAGTGGTTTTAGTGCAATGTAGCCTTTGATTCTTCCTTCAGCTAAAGGACTTTGGAATTTACCTGAACAAAATAAAATCACGTTTTACGAAGATGACTAAAGTCTTTACCCACCAAGGAAAAGTGGCTCTCTACAGCAAGTTGGTGCAGTCAGCTCAGGTAATTTGGGGCAGTTAACAACATAGAAAGGAAAATCTATTAAAATTACTTAATGGTGGTTGTGGAACTTGAAGATTATTTCTTAGAAAATATGAAACTTGGGCAAGCACTTAAAGTTCGGTGGGTTTCAATTTATCAAAAGTGGTAGATTCTGGCATCTTAATGATATTGGAATATATTTATTAATAAGGGTCTATGTCTTATCTTAATTTTGTTATCCTTTATACACATTGAAGCAAAACAATATTGGATCTGCTCTTCCATTGCTAAAGACTACATTGTAATGCTATCTTTCTCATAGTGCATACCCAGGTTTGTAGGTGTGCATGCGATTAAAGACACATTTCCAAAAATGCTTTCTTTTAGAAAGACTGCAGAAAAGAATTTTCCATAGGCAAGTAAGTCTGGGAGATGTTACGTAGAATACCCCCTTTTAGATAAATATAAAGTCTAAAACCAGAAAATTTTTTAACTTAATTTGTATAAAATTTTTTTTGTTATAATAGTTTATTTTTATATCATTTTGTGCCTTTTTCCATCTCAGTTGTAATCCCCGTGGCCTTCCCATCACTGATTCACCTGTGTGCCATCACCATCGGACAGGGCACTCCCAACCTCCATTTCTGATCCTATTCCCTACTCTACCCCTATAAAATGCCTCTGGTACATACTTGTTCATTATTCATTTTTTTTCTCTCCCTGGTCCTTTATGCTCCTGCTATGAGTGAAGCCATCCAGTATTTCTTGTACTCCCACCCCCCATTTTTGATCCCATTCCCCACTCCATCCCCATAAAATGTCTCTGGTATGTAGTTCATTTTTTATCCCCCTGATACTTTATGTCCCTGCTATGAGTGAAAACATCCAGTATTTTACTTTTTCTTTTTGGCTTATTTCATTAAGTATGATCTCTTCTAGCTCCATCCATGTTGCTGCAAAGGGCATGAGTTCATCTTTTTTGGTTGCTGAGTAATATTCCATTGTGTATATGCACCACATCTTTTTAATTCCATCATCTACTTTTGGGGATTTGGGTTGATTCCATGTCTTTCCTATTGTAAATAAAGCAGCAGTAAACATGGGGGCGCAGATATCTTTTGAATCAGTGTTTTTGTGTCTTTTGGGTAAATACCTAGAAGTGGGATTGCTGGGTCATATGGGAGCTCCATTTTTAGCAGTTTGAGAAACCTCCACACAGTTTTCCATAGTGGTTGTATTAGTTTACATTCCCACCAGCAGTGCAGGAGAGTTCCTTTTTCTCCACATCCTCGCCAACATTTGTTGTTGCTAGTTGTTTTAAGATGTGCCATTCTCACTGGTATGAAATGGTATCTCATTGTGGTTTTATTTTGCAACTCCCTTATTACAAGTGATTAAAACTTTTTTAACCTTAAAAAGAAAAAAATGCAGTAATTCTGTTTGACCAGTGTTTCTATATTGATCCTAGAATTTTTTAAGAACTCTTTTTTAAAAAGTAATATGCATTAGTGTCTCATATTACTTGGAAATGCTGCAATAAAGGAAAATGCCCAAAAAAAATGAGTTTATAATCTGATATGTTTGCTTTCAAAAAAATTTCAATCCCATATGACCCAGCAATCCCACTTCTAGGTATCTTTGGCCTTTACTTAACTTTTCTGTTCATGAGTTAGACAGAGCAGTTATGTCAGCAATTTGAACCATTTGAATGTTATATTGTTTTATTTGGCTTAATTTGACAGTCTATAATATTGTATGTTTAGAATGAGAAGAAAAAACTTCAGATATGGATTGATGGGATAGACAACATACTTACGAAGATTGATAACTGTCTTACTGAAGTGGAAATAGGTAAAGTATTCAGAATACTTTTTTTTCCCAGAATACTTTTTTTTTTTAAGATTTATTTATTTGTGCATACAGAACGGGGGTACAGGCCAGAGGTGTAGGAGCGGCGAGAGGATTCACCAGAGACCGAGTGGGGAGCAGAACAGGCAGATCTACCAAGTACACTGCTCAGGGGAGCAGCGGGCGGGTCACGAGAGGTCTGCCATGCCATGTGGATCACCTCCGGGTTGGGTGGGGATCGAACTCATGCTGAAGTGGCCTTAGCTTCTCAGTGCTATGCTTTAACCTGCTGTGCCACCAGGGAGGGCCCAAAAGTATTCAAGAATACTTTTGTAAAAGAAAATTTAAGTTTATTTAAATGCTTCCCTACTGTACAGATTGCTGGTATCACTATGTTGAAACATTGCACTGGCAACTTCAACATTAAATCTGAGCAAATTCAACCTCTGTAATTATCCACAATTAATAGGAGGTGCCCCAAATAAAAAGTGTCTTTGGAAAATTCTTTATAACCTAGACCATATACAGTGTTTGTTGTGTTTGTTTGTTTTAAATAAATGAACTTATATCCATTTTAAAATCCTTTCAGTTCGACCTCTCATAAACCAACTTGTCAATATCATCTTGAAACTGCTTTCCCTAAGACCACAACATTCTACATGTCTACATGTAGAGATCATCAAATTTGTTAGCTCTCAGTTCTTAGCCATCTTGTCTTTCAGCAATTGACGTTGCTGATTGTTCTTTTCTTCTTGAACTTCCATCTGACTAAGAGTGACAGTGAGAAGGGAGAGAGCAGACTATTGAACATGCAGAAGCCTTTCTATGAGAGAAGGTCTGAATTAAAGCCAGTATGGCTAGAGCAAAGCAGAACATATTCTGAGATAAAGCTGATGACGTTATTTAGAGACAAGGGAGGGCCTAGGGGTGTGGCTTTTCTCAACCAGTTTTTCCCTGAATAATCTCTGTACTGATTGTAATGTAAAGATTGGATTTTAATGGATCAAAAGTAAATGTAAGTTAAATTACTGGACTTAAGTGGTTAAGAAAGGATAGTACCTTATGCTAAGGGAGACTGAGAGTGGTGAAGGAAATAGTAGAGTTAAAAAATATTTTTGAAGCAATAATCTAAGCTTGGTTTTGGTTGTGTGGAGTAGAATTTTAGGGATGACGCTAAGTTTTCAAAAACATTTAAAAAGTTTTAATAAAAAATACTTGCATTTGTCTGTGTGTGTGTATATCTGTTCCTGCTTAGTCTGTACTAAGCATACTGCTCAACAATTACTTTGATATATACCTTAACATTCACTTCTCTGCCATTTGAAGCAAATGTTTGGATGAAATTTTAATTATGACTCGGTGCTTTATTGGCTAGAAAAGATGAGGAAAGAAGAATGTTTGTGAAATATTGTTAACACTTCATTGTGGAGATAGCCTTTCCATCCCTAACTGTTATTTTTCACCAAGTTATTTTAGTGCATGTTGTCTATTTTAGAAACTAAAAATTTGGAAGAAAAAGATAATCCTATGGAAGAGTGGGATTCTGAAATCAGAGCTGCAGAGAAAGGTAACTGGATTAATTAATTAAGGGGAAAAAATCTGTTCTGAGTTTATTTAGGGACATTAATTGAGATAGAATTTGCAATAAAACATGACTTGTAGCAACACCTTAATGTGTCCATTTTAAAAAAAGGCTTATTTTTGTTTATTTATGTGTGCAAACTAAATAAATAAACCTCTGTAGTAGGCCAGAGTTTTTTGGGAGGGGATTGTAGGGAGGATTCTCCAGAGATAGAGTAGGGAGCAGAACAGGCAGATGCACTGAAATACACTGCTGAGGGGAGCAGCGGGTGAGACAGGAGCGGCTGCTGCATCATTTGGGTCACTTCCCTGACTGGGGACTGAATTCAGGCTGCAGTGGCTGACAATATCTTTAATAGTGCTGAGACTTCAACCCCTGTGCCATCAGGGAAGCCCTAATGTGTCCATTTTAATAGATTTGTTTTTCTGTTTCTTTTTGAAGAGTTAGAACAACTGAAAACTGAAGAAGAGAAGCTTCAAAGGTCAGCTGTCAATTTGTATGTTAGAAAATATGCTAAACTTCACAAGGCTAAATGACTTCCTACTCTGGAAACAGAGAAGATTGGGAACATGATTACGGACTCAGAACTTGACCCTAGAGGCATTTTAGTCAATAGTATTTTCTAAGCATATAATGTTTTGGATACTACTCCAAGACAGTATTTCTCAAGCTTGAATACACTCAAACTCTTTTTAGAGAAACTAAATCTAGCATTAAACATTTTTATATTGTAGTTAAGTATGAATAAGTTTAAATGAGGTATATACTTCTTATACTGATGAGCTCATTTAAATATGAGACTAAAAGAAATCAAATACAATAATAACAAAACCATTAAATTCCCAACTGATGATATTTATTTCACAGGTGATTTTTATAAATTGATCCTAACCAAATGACTTACAAACATAGGTTCAATTTAGCTGTAAGATGCAGATACCAAAATTCTGTCATGTCTCATTTTGAATGAGGGAATACTCATTTATCTACATGATTATTTTTTTAACTTTAAGATGAAAAATGTAAATTTTAATAATCTTAAAGAACATAAGGATATCTTCATGTATTCTAATTTGAGAGCCTTTAGGTCTTTTCCTAAGCAGACCTTTACTTCTAGATTAATGCTTATCAGAAAACTAAAGCAGCAAAATGAATGCCATTCACCTCACTGTGGAGCCATCTGGCATTTGATTTGTTGCTCAAAATATTTTATATGAAGACTTTATCTTTCTTTGAATACCTGGTATTATTTGCAGAGATCTTGTAGAATTGGAAGTACAGAAAGAACAGATCCTTAATCAAATAGACCTTATTCAAAAACAAAGAAATGCAGCTGAAGAGCATCTGGATCAGTTGAGGTAAAGAAAAGCATCTGTCATTAGTTTTTTTCTATGTGTATGTTTTATCTTGTGTCTTTGGTTGACTAAATCTGTGAATTTACAACAGGTATCATTATTGTTACTTTTTTATTTATAGATTTTATTTTTATTTATGTATGCAAACAAGAACTGGGGTATAGGTCGGAGGTGTGGAGGGTGGGGGGTGATGAAAGGATTCATCAGAGACAGAATGGGGAGCAGAACAGGTAGGTCTACTAAAGTACAGTGCTTGAGGGAGCAGCGGGCAAGACAGGAGAGGTCTGCTACACCAGGTGGATTAACTCCCTGGCTGGGAATCAAACTCATGCCACAGTGACTAAAAATAGCTTCGTAGTGCTGAGACTTAACCCCTTTCCCCACCAGTGAGGCCCAGGTATCACTATTTATAACCTGTGGTACCATACACCCTCAGCGGAGTCAATACCTGTATATAATCTCAAAGTACACAAGGTGGGAGAGCTATGAAATTATAATTTTTAAATATTTGTTACTTTATATTGCCTAAACTTGGTTTTTCTCTGATATACAGCTCAAGGTTGAATTAATTTTGTACATTTACAACTCTTTAATTATTGTTTCTCAACCAGTAGAAAAATTCCAGCAATTGCTACTGGTACTATTTGGGTAGTAAAAGAAGATAACACTCCTATCTCAGAAAAAAAAAACAAAGTAAAAGAATTTTTATTTTTATCTCCAGTTTGTCTGAGTGGGATATCATTGAGTGGAGTGATGAGCAAGCTATATTCACCTTTCTTTATGACACACTGGAACTCACTGTCACCTTTGGAGAGCCAGTAGGTGAGTAGCAAAAATAGGTAAGTCCTCTGTAGAAAAATAGAGGACTAAGCTCATTAGAGATTCAAATCTTTAATATAATAATAACTACTGGCATAATAAAAGCACTGCTGAACATTTTAGAAAAGCAATCAATTAGTTAAAGAGAATTTGATTTTTTTAAATTTATTTATGCATACAGAACTGGGGTACAGGCCAGAGGTACAGGGGCAGTGAGAGGATTCACCAGAGATAGAGTGGGGAACAGAATAGGCAGATAGACGAAGTACACTGTTGAGGGGAACTGTGGGTGGATCAGGAGATGCTGCTGCACCTCCCTGGCTAGGGATCAAATTCCTGCTGCAGTTGCTACAGATAGCTTCATAGTACTGCACTTTAATCCCTGTGCAATCAGGGAGGACCCCGAAATTCATTACTTTAATGCTAACAGCATAAATCATTTTTTATTGTTTTTGTATAAAGACATTGGATATGATAGATATTGTAGCCATTTTACTTACATGGTTTCTGGAGATGATATTGTCTTTATACAGAAGTTAGAGGACTTAATAAATTTACTGTAAATGTACAAAACCTTAAATTTCCTTCAAAGGCTTACCAGTCAACAAGGTCAGCAGTCAAAACCTTTACCATATAGAAAGAATAAATGAATCAAGGATCAAACTTCTGCTGCTTATGAAAAAATCCTACTACCCGGACATAATAGAATTTTAAAGTACTAGGTTGCCTGTGATCTAAAATCAAGTGATAAAAATAAATACTGTCCTATTCTGATTCTTCCTAGTTGGTCTTCCTTTCTTGGACAAGCCGTATAGGAAGATTATTGACCTGAATTTTCAGTCTCTGTTAGATGGTAAGTTCAAAACATTTAAGCCACTAAAAATTTGTTGGAATTTTTAAGTGTAAATTGTTCCTTGAAAACTCTCATACTACATTAAATATAAACAACAGCAGCAATAATAATAATTTACCCTTAGAAATGTGTGTTGAATATAAAACTGATAGCATTCCAAATGTGTTTTAAAATATTTTTATTTTTACTAGATGTCAAGAAATGATTAATAATTGCTACTTCTGTAATTTAAAAATTGCTCTTATGAGCATTTGTTCAGTTTCAGGCATGTTTCTTACTATTTCAATACTATAAGTAGTATTTTCCATTTTACAAACTAGGGAACTATAGCCAAAAGAAGTTAGTGTTATGCTTAGCATCACTCAGATAACAAGGAAAAAGGCATGCCTTTATATTACATTTGAGCCTATGCTCTTAACCAAATCTATTCTGTTTGTGATAACAGCTTGAGTTTTATAAGCTTGAGTCTTGTGTTCAACTATATATGTTGATTAATGTGTTTCAAAATAATTGGAAAGGATAGCTAGACACAGTCATTTGAAAATATTTCTAGTTTAAATAATACTCTAGCTTGCAGATATAAGATATATGACTAATAAGTAGTACCTGCTTATTTTTTTTTTCCCTTTTTTAGAGGATAAAGCTCCTTCTTCCTCCCTTTTAGTTCATAAGCTTATTTTCCAGTATATTGAAAAACAGGAATTTTGGAAGAAGACATGTACAACACAGCATCAGATACCCAAGGTAAATTCTGATTTAAATATTTAAAAGAAAATTTTTATCTGTCCCTTATGTATACAGTAGTGTATCCTGAAATGATAATGATATTGCACTGTTTAGTTTTAGGGCATTCTTTGTGTATGTGTGTGTGTGTGTGTGTGTGTGTGTGCATGCATGCATGCATGCATGTATAGAAGTGGGGTGTAGGCCAGGAGTGCAAGTGCAGGGGGTGAGAGTAGTCACCAGTGACAGAGTGGGGAGCAGAGCAGGCACATTTACTGAAATACACTGTAAAAGGGAGCAGCGAGAGAGAGAGGAGAGATTTGCTGTGCCATATGTGGATTAGCTTGATCGAACACAGGCCATTAACAGTGATAGCAGTGACTTAACTTCTAGGCCACCAGGGAGGCCCTGGGCATTATTTATAAAAGAACCACTAAATAATAAAATGTTTTAAATTTCTTCTTTGTTTCTTTCCCTCCTTTTCCAAGATGCTTCAAGAAATCTCACAGGTAGTGAGCCATTGCAGACTTCTTGGAGAGGAGATTGAATTTTTAAAGAGATGGGGACCAAATTATAACCTAATGAACATAAATGTGAATAATACTGAGTAAGTGCATTGACTCTCCAGGACTGTCACAACAAAGTCCTGCAAACTGGGTGACTTGAACATCAGAAATTTGTTGTCTCACAGTTCTTGAGGCTAGAAGTCTGAGATCAAGGTATCCTTGTTGGCAGAGTTTGGTACTCCTTGGCTTGTAAATGTATAACTAAGATCTGCATTCATCTTTACATGATGTTTCTTGTGTACATGCCTGTGTCCGAAATTCCCCTTTTTGTAATAAGGACAGCAGTCACTTTGGGCTAAGTATCCGTCCTACTCCAGTGGAACCTTTTCTTAGCTAATTAAATTTGCAGTACCCTATTTCCATCAATGGTAATTTAAAAAATTTTTTTAAATTTATTTATGCATAGAAGAACTGGGGTGTTTACCAGAGGTACAGGGAGTGAGAGGATTTATCAGAGACAGAGTAGGAAGAAGAACAGGCAGACTGACTGAAATAAACTCCTAAGGGAAGCAGTGAGTGAGACAGGAGGTGAGCTGCACCATATGTGGGTCAGCCACCTGGCCTGGGATCAGACTCAGGCTATAGTGGTGAGAGAGCTGACTCGACCCCTATTGCCCCAACAGTGGTAAAATTGTGAGGTCTTTGGATTAGGGTCTTAATATGTAAATTTTGGGGGAACACAATTTGATACATAACAGGAAGTAATTTATTGAAAATTAATTATTTAATGATTTTTATGACTAACAAAAAATAATTCTTTGTTCAAGGTGTTTTACGCTCTCCATTTGGTAACAAGAAAATATTGTACACATAAGTTTTTCATGACTGTATAATAGGGAAAATGTATTTATGTTTCATTGTATTTTTAATTGAGAATCTTATATTTTACAGGTTAAAGCTTTTATTCTCCAGCTCTGCAGCATTTGCCAAGTTTGAGATAACTTTCTCTCTCTCAGTTAATTATCCATCTACCCCATTACCATTCTCCATTCAGAATCACCTTGGAAACATTGGGTGAGTAAAGGATCCACAAAGAATGGCTCACAACTACATTTTACTTTTGTCGCATCTTTTGAAAGAACCCACATAGTGCTGAAAAAAAAAAAATGGATAGACCATAGTGAGGCCAAATATCACTCCTTTCTAGCTTCATTTGAAGAATTTTTCTTTTAAAGTCAGTAACCTTCATTACTATCTCCAGTGGATATTAGAGGTATTGGTTGGTTCTTTTATATTTGCTCTATTTTTTAATGCCACTCCTAACTAAAACAAGAATTAGGAGTGAAGAAACAAATCCTGCATAAACTTGGCCCAGATGATAAATGAGAAATTCTTATTATCTTTAAGAACTGAAAAATCTTTTTTTTAAATATGTGCATTTATAATACTGTTTTCAATTAGATTCTGGAACTAGACTTAAATATATACTTACTACTGTGTACTGTATGACTTTTCAAACATACTGCTGACAGATTGAAAGATGGCAGAGTTTAAGAGTGTGCTTGCCACCAATTCATCAGCAAATACCAGTAGTTTAGGTCTTTTTAGCTAGAGAAATCAGCTAGGCCAAGATACCTTACAGATGCATAAGAATTGATTCATAGGCTTTGTTTTTAGAGTCTCATCCATTTAAGCTAGACAGTTTATTCCCAGAAATGCCTATGTATGCTGCTTAGGAAACTTCAGCGATTATATCCAAAAATGTGAAATCCACGAAAATGGAGACAAGTGTAAATTCCAGGATAACTAACTAACCTTTTGTTACATTTCTAGACAAGATAAAATTGCTGTCATTCTATCTAAAGTGCCACTAGAGGACAACTACCTGAAGAATGTAGTCAAGCAAATTTACCAAGATCTGCTTCAGGGCTACCATTTCTGCCACTAGAACCATGGACCACAGTTATATAACAACCAAGCACATTGCACTTAATGATTCTTTTATGTTATTGCCTCCATTGCTATTCAATCTCCGTCTTCAGGTAATAGAAACCTAGTAAAATTACATCTGATGATATAATTTGTATGGTTAGTTTTTAAACCTTTGTTATCGAGAATGGCAAAAATCTTCAGATAACCTATCAAGTTGCTCATCTTTCTACCAAAGGTTTAAGTAGAAGAACATATAGGTAAAATTTCTAATTAAAATAGTGCATTCTGCTTTTGTACAGGCAGTAAGGAGTACAAGCATATACAGAGGTGTCATCACTGACCAAAAACATTAGCTATTTCTCCATGTATAGAACTATGATTCCTAGGTTGTTTGGCTTCGGGAGTAGAGACATGTCTGTGTACAAACTACTCATCCTCCTTTTTCTACATCACAGAATGTTACTGAGAGAATATTGGGGTCTTTTCTTGGAGCCTTCTTTTATTGTATAGTATCTATATTGCTTTCTTAATAAATATAACTTTGCAGGTAAAATTCATTTTGGCCCAGTTACATATATACAAATAAATTATTTTTGTTTCTTTTGTAGTAAGGAAATAGATGTATAGAAGTGCATAAAAGTATATAGAAAGATAGCCTTTCGCCATGGCAGTTTGCTTCTTTCTGAAGGATGTTTACACCAAGAATTTCAACCTTCTATTATTACATAATTAGACTTCAGACAATGTCATACTTAAAACAATAGTTTTGTCAGTTTTTGGCAATAGTAAAGAATTTAATATAAATATTTATTTCTTCAGTCACCCACCTCATACACAAAAATAAGTGTATTTGCATTGATACTGAATGTTTGATATTATACGTAAATATGAAAAAAACTTCTACCCAGACTTTAAATCTTGATCATGATAACTTTGTTCACTTATATTTAATTCTAAACTGAATTTTCATTTGTCTTAAAAGTTTGTTTAATACTTTATAATCAAGTTAAAATCCTGTGGGCCCCATAATTGTTATCTTTCTTCTTGTTTGGTTTTTACCTGAATTGCTAACCAAAAGATCTAAAGATCTTTTAAGCTCAAAACTATTTGCCATAAAATCAAGATGTAGATGTGTTTTCTACTTCCACAAACTCCTTAAAATCCTTTACAATAATATCTGTTTCCCATGAAACTTACAAACATTTTCTTACTGGAGTTGTTTTATATCTTTTAGGTGAGCCTAAAAAGTTAATTCAGTTTGTACATTTCAGTAACCTGGATTGATCAGCTTCAAGAATGATTTGGCTTATAATGATGGTCTCAGCCTTCTTAGGCTCGTTGTACATAATTGTAATATTTATCTAGTTATTTGCAATTTTTCAACATATTATTTGGAGTTTGGTGGTTTTTTTGCACTATAAGTTTAGCTTTTTGTGGAAGATACAGTGAAAGCTGCAGCATAGTTTCAGGTCTCTGGGCCTTCCTATCCTGCTCCTGACTGCTTTTGTCTCTTGCTGAGAAACAAGTAGCTTAGGAAGCCATACCACAGCCATTCCCTTTATTGACAGAAGAAAGGCAACCATGGAACCAGAGGCAGTGATTCACTGAAAATTACTCCGGTCCCAGAGTGAAATCTTTGTGAAAAAATGTGTGCTGACTTGATCAGATGTCCAAAGGAAAATAATCTTGAAATAAAAGGATCATTCAAATACCTGCCAAGATTCTGAGAATCACTACAAGAAAATCCTCATGTAGTGAATGTTCTATGGCTTAGGAGTCTTTTCAGATGAGGAGCTACAAGTGACTCATTAACTTGCATAGTTCTTCTGAGATTGTTCAGCAGATTACTTCTACCAGTATTGAGCCAGGAGTTTAGGTTAAAGTTACCATTGTAAATGTATAACTCAACCTTTTTAATAAAATGATAATCATTTGTTAAAAATAAATTTATTGTGATGTGTGTTTTTATCACGTGTCCAAATGAAAATATACCAAAGAAAGCACTCCTGGGAACACCCACACATTTGAAATAAGATTAAAATGTTAGGACCTTGGGCCCTCCCTGGTGGCCTAATGCTTAAGGCGCAGCACTAAGCAACACTAGGAGGCTTGTTGCTGCCACTTCAGCATGAGTTCGATCTCCATTTCTGGCCACTGTCTTGTCTTGCCTGCTGACACCCCTCAGCAGTGTATTTCAGTGGATCTGCCTGTCCTGCTCCCCACTCTGTCTCTGGTGAATCCTCTTACCTCCCACCCCCCGCCTCCCTCCCCCTCGGTACTGTATGTGCAAATAAATAAATCTTAAAA